CCCCATGGTATAGCTAAACTTTGGCCACCATTTTTCTCTATCCTACAACTCCTTAAAATGCCATGAAACAAAATGCTCTACTCCCCTACATATGTACTATATGCTTAGTAATAAAAAACACTTTAAAACATAGCATAATTGTTATGAAAATTTCAACACAAGCATGCTTGGATAAAGTGTTCAACAATGATAAAGACTTAAGATAAACCCAATAAAATAATGATCATGATTATTCCATTAAAAAAAGTTTCAGAAGTTTTACTATTGCCTATAAACAGGGGAAGAATGAAACAAGGGATGCCAAGCTAGAAAGAAAAGATGTTAAGAGATAAAGAGAAAAGAAAAAAAGAGTTTAAGCCATGAAGAGAGCACAATTAAGCCAAAAGAGGAAAAAAAAAAAGAAGCAAGAGAAAGAAAAGGGAACTCAAGAAGAGGAAAAAAAAATAGAAGAAGCAAGAGAAAGAAAAGGGAACTCAAATGTAAGGAAAAAAAAAGGGAAAAAAAGAAGAAGAAGATTGAGTTGAGAGAATGGAATTGATTGATTAATGGATGAAAATAAGAGGAAAAAAAAGAGAAGAAGAGATAGAAAAATACAAGAAGAAAAACTAAAACAAAGAAAACAATAAATAGAAAGAGAAACGACCAAGAGAGAGGAAAAAACTCTTCAGCATCGACACCATTACCATCTCTACCACCAACAACCACCACAATAGCTCCTCCTTAATTTGAAACCAACCCTAAGATGAGCCAACACCTTCTTCCTTCTTTTCTTATTAAAGTACGTTTGTTTTTTTTTTCATGTGTTTACTAGTTAAGTGAAAAAAATAATAAACATGTTAAATATTCCTACATAGACATTATTCATTCATACATTTTTATTTTATTTTATTTTAACTGACTTTATATTTTTGCTAGCTTCATTTTGTAAAACTCCATTCTTGCCTTTTAAATATGCATATGTGTGAAAAGATTATAATTATGTATGTGTGTGTGTGTAGAATTATGTTTTTGAATACGTATGTGTATATAATTTTTTTTTTTTTGAAAAAACAGAATAAAAACAACATTGCAGAATTTTCATCAGGTTAATGTCATTTTTTATTAAGTTTGAGTTTTAACAATTAGGTTAACATCTAATCTAGACCTAGCAAAACATTCTTAATCTTGAGATGAGTTTAATAATGAGTCGACATGTTTTCATCATGTTAATGTTATGTTTTAAAAATTTAGATTTTAATGGTTAGGTCGATGTCAATCCTAGTTTTAAAGATTGACATAAGCAAAGCAAGACATTTTTAAACCAAATATAAGGTTGGTAATAAGTTCATAAGTCTTTTTTGAGTTGAGATTAACTTGGAATGAATGTAGCATGCTTTTCAAAAAAAAATTTGTTTTTAATAAATAAATAATAATTATTAAAATATCAAGAGATATTTATAACTAAATAACTAAAATAAAAACTATCAAGTTGTGTGACTTTTAAAGTTTGATGCTAATATAACAAAGATTTATCAATAATAAATAACTTGTGAATAAAAACATAAAATAATTTGAATAATTAATTTTATAATAAATAAATTTAGAAGAAAAGACATAAAAAATATAATATCTTCTTGAAAATAATGTGGTAAGGATGATTTGTATCCTTCATTAAATATAAACAACTTTTTATTTAAATTTTTAAAACTATGTATATTTTAGAATTTTTAATTTCTTTAATAATCAATCTTTATTTTCTATTAAGTCTAGAGGTCTTATATTTATACTGAATATGAAAATTTAAATGTTCAAGCGTTAAAAATACCCTAAATATTATTTCTAATACAAGCAATGACCTAATAAATAAGAAATTATGTTTACTTCTATGTTATTAACATTATTTCTTCATTCTTCAACAAATTAACATGATCTCCAATTAGTTAAAACCAATTATTGCACCTATGTTATATCAAAGGGTATTTTTCAAAATTTATTTTTATTTAATTCAATAAAAATTAAAATAAATACTTTATTTTCATCAAATATTCATAAATATTGTTTTAAAAAAAACAATTACTATTTAGGTTCATATATAATACATACATAATATAATTACTAATATAACCCTAAAAAGCTCTAATCTTGTTTAAAAACTATGGTATATTTGAATAGTTTCTAAATATAAATTATGCTATTTAAAACTAACATTATTTTGAAATAAAAAGTACAAAATAAATAAATAAAAACTAAAAGGTTAATTAAAAAAGGCATGCACACTTATCCTATCAAGAAGGGTTCACATGTTTGTCCTGATAGAAAAATCTCAAACTTGCACATAACTTTTTTTTATAAAAAAAAATAAGTGCACAACACTTCATTCACTTAGATAGTGCTTACAACAACATGTCAAGTTATTAAATATTCAAAATAAAAATTTTAATATTTTTCCATTTAAAATAAAAAAACATTATAGAAATTTCAATAAAACTATTTTCAACCCCAAAATACTTATTATAGAGTTTATAAATAAAACATTAAATAGAAGGAAAAACAAAACCCTTCTAATTCTAATATACTTTCATGAGTATGGTTAAAGGTCAAAACCACATATATAAAGCTCATATCTCCAAGATGAACTCGTTGGCCCTAAAACTAATCTTTTTTATGACCGGAATATTGCCAACCTAAAGCTTTCTCTTTGCTTCTTTTTTTCATTGACTTGTTCACTCTTTTCCCAACTTACAAGGATTAAAATATAAGAAAGATAAAGTTTAGGACTGAAATATAAAAGCTAAAATTATGGACATTGATTATGAAAATTTTAAAAAATATAAGGATCAAAATGTTTTTTTTTAAGGCTCGAAACAAAAAATAACCAAAACTACATGAACCAAATGTGAAAAGCTTCTAAATATAAAGGTCAAAATGTATTGATTAAAAAAAAATCAGATGTTGTTTATTAAAGAGAATGAAGAATGAAATCATATCCTGTATTAGTTGAGGGATTTCATTGTTCATAGAATAGTTAAATACAATCTTGTTTTAGTATAAGCTACTAGATTATTTATCCGTGATATAATATGGGTCAAATTATTATTTTTTTTAAATAGTTGAAAAAAATATGTAGGTATTGCTAACATGTTTTCATGAAGAAAAAAAATAAAATGTGTAGATATCAGGCTAATGTGACATGGTTAACTTGACAAGTTTAAAGGTAACATGGACAATAGGAAAAAAAAACATAATTTGACTAAAAAATTTCAATACGATAACTTTTTCGAAATAACATAAAACCCGAGTTAACCTATCAAAATTGGATTTTGAGACTGGGATAACATAATGGAATATAAATCAAAATAAATTATGAAACTTAATTCTCAATTAATAGAACATTGAAGGATGAAATTGAAAAAAAAATCAATTTAAAAAGGATAAAAACATTATAAAACTTAATTCTTAATCAACTCAAGTGGTGAAGAATGAAATTGAAGAAATATCAATTACTAAAAATACTCGAGTCAATTAAATTAGCTCGCAAAACTCGTAACTTAAGTTATGAGAATGAAATAATCTCATAGAAAGTAGACCAAAATAAATTATAAAACTCAATCCCCAACTAAATCAAATGTTAAATAATAAAATTTTAAAAAAAATTAAATCAAATTACTATTCTAATGAGGGGAGATTTCCCATCCTTAGATAATGTAATATGTAATTACTTATAATAATCATGTTACAAGCCTATAAAAATAAATATTGAGTGGATCGTAGTCAATAGCAAAAGATATAAATAGTCAATTATATTCAATTACCACATCATAAACTCCAATAAATGCCATATCAGCATATTCAACCAATAAAAAATAAAAAATAGTTAAAATGTAATATTGGTGCTTGCAATTAATGAGAATTAAGTAATTAGAATGAATATAGAAACAAAGTAGATTAGATAAGTATTCCGTTTTCAAGATATTAACTACAAAAAATGTATCTTCTAATTAATGTATATAATTAATTGAAATAAAATAAAAACAAATGGATTAAAAATACTTAAACAATCGTTTACTTTAAAATGAATAGTTATCTTTCTTTTTCACATCAAACCATCCATTTGAATCTCCAACAGTTATAATCTCAATCTCTCTTTCTTTATTTAATCTCTCTTTCTTTATTTTTCTTCTATTCACTAAGTCCCCATCTAATCTCTCTTTCTTTATTTAATCTCTTTTTCTTTATTTTTCTTCTATTCACTAAGTCCTAAATATAGGTGTAAAATCCAACTTGGGACTCTTAATCACTTGATCAAGTACTTTATTTTTTTTTAATTTTATTTTAAGGAAGGACTAAAATGATGTATTGATTTTCTTTATATATATATAGTTGATCATGGGAGGTTTGAATCTAATTAATCAATTGTTTTTTTATCAATTTTTCTGGGTTGATTGTTTTAACTTCTTGGTTAGGTAAATTTTAAACCTAATTTGGATTAGTTTTAATTTAAATAGTTTTTTAGTCAACTCATTAAACCTAATTTGGATTAGATTTTAATTTATATAGTTTTTTAGTCAACTCATTAAACCAAACTAGGTTTGACTACAATGATCTTGAATGCCACTTCTTTATCGATCTAAAATGTTAAATATTTTTTCAATTGGATTTTTTATGTGTTTTAAGTTTCTTGGAAATCTAAAGTTAACTACAATTGAAACTAATTTTACATTAATTTAACTTAATGTTTTTAATGGATATTCTACATGACCTTTCATCGTATAATACAATTTATTAAATGCTTAATGCAATTGATTTTATCTAATGTCATTTTAATTTCGCAATTGGATTATAAGTCTATGGAATGTATCTAATTTATTGATTTAACCATACTTAATTTCTAGTTTCTATCACCATTCAAATAAGTTGCATACCCAAGGTTTTATTTTATATTATTAATGAAAAATGATATAAACAAGTGAGGATAAAAATCAAGCATAAATCAAATAAATGGAACACTACCCGTATATATGTGCGTGGATAACACTAGTTAATTATTGAAGCAAAGTAACAAAGGATCAATACATAAATTGGGTGTAATTATGCACACAATTTTATATCGAAGAGCGGTCTCCTCCCCATGACGAAGGGCAGAAGGTGACAATATACTCTTTGGATGCACAGTTCACCAGCGGCGCAGGCGAATCAAAAGCGTAGCTATAATAATAAGGGCATGCATCTTTAAACATCTTCGAGTACACGCTTGGCTTGCATTTCTCAGGGCTTCCATATTCATTACTGCAACAAAATGAGTCAAGATTGAAAGCCAAGCAAGCGCTTTTGCACGCCACAATTTCCCCATTTTTGTTATGGACCTGGAGCTCCATCGGGCACGAATTTTTCAAATTTTTTGAGCAACCTCCGATGGTACATTTAGATGAGATTTGCTTAGTTGTTACCGAAACAGGAAGGTTATATCCATCAACCAAGCTCACATCATAAAAATTTGGCTTGCTTCCATCTGCTTGAAGCGATACTTGCACAAGTGTAACTGGAGGTGTGCCTATTAGACCATTGCATGCTAGACGCCCATCGCAATCACCAGTTTCACAGGCAGGTTGCCCTTTGGAGGTGAAATTGCAGCCAGTTCGAGCCCACATTCGGCCTTTCCAATCCCATGGAGCGTAGATGCGTTGAGTCTCACCCGAGGTGAGATAGAATCCACCGTCGGCAATCACTGGATGGCCTGTGTTGGGGGCTGTCGCCGGCCATATGGCGAACGGGCACTTGTTGTGAATATGAAATGCAACTTGGTGTCCTAATGATCGCCCTGCAATAGTAGCTAGCAATTGGACTCTTATTACAACATTCACGCAAACTCATTACGTATATGGCCAATCATGTTTAGGGCTAAATGCATGTAAGAAACAATATTACTATGAATAAAAAAACAGCAGTGCCAACATTGTGATGAATTACCTGATAACAATGAATGGCATATCAAGAAGAGAAGGAAACCATAAGTATTCCACTTTGGCAACTTCATTTTTAAACCAATTGATGAAGAGAAAAGGTTGTAGAAATACTATTTATAGTTCAAGAATTAAGACTTTGATGCGGGACCGGCCCTTCCTGCTTCTTCAATTGTACTCCAAGTTATTGATGGAAAACAAACTTTAGAGACAAGAAAGTGAGATGTCTGTGATTTTTTATTATCAATTATCCTCCCTTGAAAGCAAACCAAAGCAAGTATTAGTTAAGTGAGAGTTAGAAGCAGACATCTGTAAAAAGGTTTAAACATTAAACAATGTGTACTTGCGAGAGGAGAATCATCCACATGGACCATGCGTAAAACATTTTACATTAATTAATTAATCTTGCTGTTCTTGTGAATAACACCTGCAAGTTTTTTTTTTCCCCTCATTTTTTTCAAACTGGTAGAAGGATTTTTTGCTTTGGAGAGAGCTCTGTTCTTTGAATTTAGCATAGTATCAAAAACAATTTTGAAAATCCTATTTTTCATAAAATATTTAAAAAAATAACATACTTTGAAAAAAAATTACATGTTTCATTTGTGTCTCATGAATCACATGTCTAACATGTGACTACGAATTAAAACCCCAACCTCTAGCTATCATTTCTTGTTTGTTTTTTTTTCCTCTTCTCCTCTATTTTATCTTTTTCTTATCGCGACCCACCACGAAACACCCACCTATAAAACGCTATACCCACCCCCTCTCTTTCCTCGTAGCCAAAAAAAAATAAATTATATCACCACCACTTGAATTCAACATTTAGAGGAATATTACACACTTTTTCTTAATCAATTTCAAAGGGTTTGTGATAATTTGTGCTATTTATTGATTTTAATTATTTTAGAGTTTGGAATTAAGAATTATGGATTTTTTTAATCAACTTTAAATTTTTTCAATTAGTTAATTATGTTAATTAGTTATAAAATACAGTAATTTGAGTTGTTAATTTTGTTATTTATAATGATTTTGGGTTGTTCTCAGTTGCGAATTAAATTTAGGGTTAGGATTTTTTTATCTTAAATATAAGATTTAATTAAATTAGGTATAAAATATAATGATTAACTATAAAATATGTTGCACCCGACATTGTGACAAACCCGTAAAACCAAATACTTTTTTATTTTAAAATGAGATAGTAATAAAAAGAAAAGTCATCACATAATATTATGGTAACTAGAAAATCCTAACTAGTCTATATGAAATAAATGACCGGTTGCGCTAAAGGGAATATACTATCACCCTAAAACATCTTATTTAAGATAAGTTGTATTGAAATTTCTATTTATTTTTAATGGTTAGTTGTGTCAATTTATCAATGATCTTTTTACATAGGTCCACTACGATGAGTTGGTCCCAAGGTATGTTTTATGTCTCTTCGTTCTAAAATCCTGATTATTCTTGTTATTTCAATTTGTTTGGTGAATTGATATTTTTATAATTATTTACTCTATTTTTTGACTTATGACTATAAATATTTTTATAATTAAATGAGTTTTCATTAGGATCATTGAACCTAGTCTAGATCCCAAAAGAAGGTGTTCTGAATATTTACTTTACAATGGAAAAATGTATTGAGAGGATATTGTTGAGGCATCGTTTAACTTATTGTTTCACATTCATGTTTGATAAAAAAAAGTTTTAAAAACAAAACCCTGACTTATAAAAATAAACCAAGTAATTGATTTTTTTATATGAAAGTGCTTATGCCATAATTTTTTTAAAAACACATTCATACAAAAAATGCATCATGTTGAAAATTAAACACAAGAACAATCAAGTGTTTGCATACAAATTTTATAAATCATTAAGAAACATCAAGACATTAAAAAATTACATCAAAATCAAACCATTATGTTTCGGATAAATCTTTTGCAACCCAATTCTCCTAACTCCATCCTAGGATATTGATTTCCATCTATACTCAACCTCAAAAATAAATTACTTAGTGACATCATACCCTCGAGATTATCACACAACATCATGAACCTATAATATTTTAAATATTTGACAATCAAAAAATTTACAATCAATCTAAATCAACAAGCACTTCATCATAATGTAGGAAGCATTTTTTAATGTTTCGTGCCACCAAGGAATTCAGGCTTATATATGAAAAAATCCAAGCTTTTTTACTAGGAAATTTTGTGATGCTTTTTAGCCGGTGGTGATTAGTCTTTAGAGTTTGAAAGTGGTAGCGAACAATGATTGGACAATCGAGAAAGAAGATGAATACCTGGGTTTCAATTTAGGATAACAATCATAAAAGAAAGATGAAGATACAAAAATTATAAAGGGTGCTTTAGATGTTAAGTCAATTATAATAGCAAACTTGTAACATTTTAAAACTTCAAAACTTTTTGTTGATTGAGTTCAATGGTAATTAACTTTGTCGTATGTATACGACATCACAAATAATCCTCTTGAATAATGATTTTTAATGATGTAGAAAGAATAAAAAATTCATTTTTTTCTTTTAATGGTTTAAAAAGATTGAAGTCGTTACCTAATATTTTAATCACTAAAAATCATAATTGATTTTTAAAATCTAAGTAAAAAGACTAATTATATATTGGAAGGACATTATTACCTCTAATGCATCCTATTTAAGGTAAGTTATATTATTCATTTTTCTTATTATCACTAAATTTTTGTTGTGTTTTTCTATCCACTAGTTTATCTATTAGTTAAAGCGAGTTCACTCTAGTCAAGTGCATCATTGCTTTATAGATCAAGTCTAGCTAATCTACAGTCAAAATATTTTTTTTATATTTATTTTTTTAACATCAAGAATACATTTTATATGCAAGTTTATAACCTCTAACATTAAAAATAAACAAATTGATTTTTTTGTATGTTTTTGAAATTTAGGGCAAATCTTCATGGCTATAATATTTTTTTTATTAAATCTATGATGCAAACAAAATATAAAAATTATTTTTTATGCTATGTTATTTCATGCAATATCTCTTCTTTTGTAATTTTTTTTATTTTCTTAATTATATATATATATATATATGTTTTTGTATTTTCTTAATTTTATATATATATATATTAAAAAAACAAAAGAAACAGATTTATTTAATATGAGAAAAGTTTCTTATGTGTAAGTTTGTAATCTCAAATATTAAATATAAAAAGGTAAAAATTATGTGGAAAATCCTAAATCAACTGCAAAATGATCAGTTAAAACTCTAAAATTGAATTAAGATTTAACTAAGGTTGTGTTTAGTAAAACAAGAAAAAAAATATAAATATAAAACAAAAACAAAAACATTAAGACTTGTTTTCTAAACAAGCTTTAAAAACACATTTTTTTCTTTAGTAAATTTTCATCTTACTAAACACGGCCTTAAACCTTAAAAGGTGTGGTCTAGCCACGTAGACTAGACTTAGCAGCTTGGCTTATTGTCTAAAAACATATTTCACACTTAGCAAAGAAAAATCAAAGATCAAAAGTCAAGTTTTGGTTGAGTCCTTTCTATAATATGAAAAACATGATGAACCTTAAAAATCCAATTAAAGATAAAATTAGATTACATCAAATCAAGGACAAAAAGAGATCAAATAAGAAAGATTTAAGCATAATGATGCATCAAATGGGAAAAATAAGCCATAAATTACATGAATTATATTTGATAGTCCTAAACCAAAACTCAAATATTCAAAGTTACCAAAGATCTATTGGTCTTAATCAAGCCCTAAATAGACCAATCAAGAGTAGAAAAAAATCATGCATAAGTTGATGCTTTGATTGAAACACCCCTAATAGGCTAAGATATTAGCTTGTAAGAAATTGAATTCGACAACCTTTGAACATTTAACCCAAACCCAAAAAAAAACCTAAAAAATCCTATAATTAGCCTTTAACCTAGAAAATAATCAAAACTCTAGTATAATAGCCTAAAACCAGTAAGTGTAACTCAAAAAAACCCATCATAACTTACTTAAACCATCAAAGTACTTAAGAAAAAAAATAAAATAATTAAACCAAATCAATTTATAAGATTTCAAAAATGCATTTCTTGAAATATTGATTCTAACATATGTTTTCAATCAACCTTATCATGAACATAACTTGACTAACCCAATATGAAATCAAAAATAAATCTAGTGACTGATCTAAGCATCATAACATTATTTCTTATTATTTAAACAAGTTATCATCATTATATTAGTAGTCATAAACATCAAACTATACATTCAATACCATTTTAAATCTACTTTTCAAAACAATACATATTACTTTGAAATATAATTTGCTATATAAAAAAAAATACAGTGTCTCTAAACTAATAATTAATCACCATAAATGAACAATAAACCTTTAAATAAGAATTTAAAAGGAATTAAAAGAGGGTTGTGCTTATTAAGCTATATCATCTCATCAAAAAAAAATACATACCTTTTAACCATAATGCTTCCTTTTTTTTCTGGTATTTCTTGCCTTTTTCTTCTTGTTCCCAACTCCAATCCTAATTAATATTTTGGTTTGTTTGTTTCTCTTTTTTTTTCTCCCCTATCCTTTTATAGCTTTTTGCACATTATTTTACTAGCATTTCTTTTTTAATCACCTATGGAATTTATCACTCGATTATTTCTGAAATCATGATAGATGATTATAGAAGTCTCTCCTTTTATTTGTCTTCCATAACCTTGCCTCAAAAGTTATGTGTTGTGGTTTTTTGTTTCTTTTTGTCACTTTGTGAACTAAATTATTATAAAAGAAAGCAACCTCAAAGTTAGTTTTTTCATAAGTGATTCTCTTTTTTAGTCTAAGTTGTGGGTAAGGTATTTTTGATAAATTTACCATATAGATTAGGACATAAACATACCATTAGAGGATCTAAAAGATGTAAAAGAGATACATATCTATCATTAAAAAGAAACCACATTTGATCTGAAGGTTTAGAACTTTATATTTATTTATTGAAAGATTGATCCTCAATCCGTTTGAAACTATCAATACAAGAGAGGTTGATTGGGAATATGAAGTTGTTAAGTTCTTCGAGCCAAATAGAGTATAAACGTTTAACAAGGATGGTTGATCTTTATAGAAAAAGTATTTCTCAGATATTTGATACCAAGTAGAGCTCTTGAAGTGATCGAAAATGCTACATTTTTTTTTGTCTAAATGTGGTTCCTTGAGCTTCTTGGCCAAAGAAAAAAGAAAAGGAAGAACAATGAGTAAATGTCTACCTTATTGGCCAAAGAAAAAGAAAAGGAAGAACAATGAGTAAATGACATCATTCGTTTTAAACCCTAAAAAATAGGGTTTTTAATTAGAATTTTTAGGATTTCCATTATAGTTCATATACTACTAATTTCAGCATTTACATCTTTAATTAATTTGAAAACTTTTCACTTCATGTAATTTCATCCATGTAAATATTGATTGGAATCCTTTAATTCACACACATTTTATGAATTAGTCATTGATTTTTAATTTATATAACTTCATCCTCAATTGACCTTTTAAACTTTTTTTTTATTATTAAGACCATGATTGCACCAATTATGTTCTTTAAAGCTTGAACTGGATTTCTAATCTTTCAAATTGATCCAAATTATGCCTCCAAACTTAATATTTTTATAATTAAATCCTTAATTAAGTCAAGTAAACTCATTAAAAGTTAAATTAATCCCTTAAACTTAATTAATTCTTTTAATTTTAGCCAAATCACATTTCAAACTTAGTTTGATTCAATTAAGTCCTTAATTAAGTCAATTCAACTTATCAAAAGTTTAATTAAACCCCTTGAATTTAATTAATTCTTTCAATTTTGGCTAATCAACTTTTAAACTTGATTTTTCTTCAATTAAGTCCTTAATAAAGTCAATTCAAACAATTAAAAATTTAATTAAGCCCTTGAACTTAATTAATTCTTCTGATTTTGGTAAAATCAACTTTCAAACTTAGTTTTGCTTCAATTAAGTCTTTAATTAAATCAATTAAATCCATTAAAAGTTTAATTAAGATCTTGAATTTAATTCACTCATTCAATTTTGGACAAATCAACTTTCAAACCTATTTTTGTTTCATTTAAATCATTAATAAAGTCAATTAAACATATTAACAGTGTAAATGAACCTATAAACTTAATTGTTTCTTCTAATTTTGACTTAATTACCCTTTAAACTTAATGAGCCTAGGTTATGGTGTACTTAATATACAAAATATTTTCTTCAATTAGGCTCTTCAATGTTGCAATCGAGTTCCCAAGAATTTTAAGGAACCCCAAATTAGGTTATGGTGTACTTAATATACAAAATATTATCAACTATATGGTCTTTAGCATGTAAAATGTAATTTTTTAAATGTTGGAGAGAAAAATGTTACCATTCTCAAGCCTTAAAAGGTTTTAGCTAACCTTTTTTTAAATATAATTTTAAAAATAATATTTATAATTCCCACATTATTCTCATTAAAAATTAACTCATAATTTATTTTTCAAAAAGAAAAACAATTCAAAAGAAAATAACTTTGATATGAATATTTTGTTTTTGAAGATCATATTTAAAATATGATATCTACTTATAAAGATTAGCCATGAATGTATTACAGTTAACTGGTAATTTAATAATTTATTTCTTTAGATGTCATCTGCACAAATTAATAATCTGTATTTTATTAGTTATACAATCATATGTTATTTTATTAATTATAAAAGATACAATAAATTAAAATATCAACAAATTAATTATGGATTTTTCTAACGTGTGCCCTAATGGCACACATTATTACTTGATGGAATTGGAGAGTTTCACTTACATAAGTAAAACTCTCCAATTCAATCAATTAATGTGTGTTCTTAGAATACACTCAAGATAAAATAAATATTTTTTGATGTTAAAATTAATTATAACTATCAATATTTAATATTTAAAAGAAAGAATAAATATCATAATTTATAAAAAAAAAATATATGAAAATTTATCTTTTATGATTTTTTTTCTCGTGTTTGTCTTTCTCCTAATATTATAAATATTAGTACCTTATTATAAAATTTCTCAGTATAGTTTCATATAATGTGCTTGTAATTAATGGTTCGGGTCACATTTCAAAATAATTTTTTAAATTATCACGGAAATCGAAAAAACAAAGATTTAGATCACCATTACAGCAAAAATAAATAAATATATTCAGTACCTCATAAATGTCCATGTGGCATCTCTGATCTGTCTCAGCATCTCCTCCTAAGCCCTACCTGCTTCACAAATTTTATTCCGGGAATATCCCAATGGAATCTAAAAATCTTCATCTCATTAAATTTGTACACCCAAAAAGCGACGCTATGAGCAACCTTTACGAATTATGCATGTTAATTATTAAACAAAAAAATAAGAGAGAAGAGAATTTTATTATGTTTTTCCTCACAGAATATTATTTACTAGAATAGTTTTTTTTCTTTCAATCTATTTTTTTAATTTTAATTATATTTTCAACATTAATTTAAGAATTATAGTTTATAATTGTTTTTAAATTATTTTAATTTTATTATCTAAACTACATGTTTGAGGATAAACTTAGTTAATTCTATGTTTTTTTTATCAACTTTTTTTTTCAAAATTTTTCTTTAATATTAAATTGATTAAAAATAAATTTTATGATTTATTTTAGTTTATTTTTTATGATGTTATATTTGTCTTATAACTAAGATAATAAGTTTGATTTGAGTCATTTTAGTTAAATATTTTTTTAATTTTATCTTCCAATATTTTTTTAATTTTATCTTCCAATAGCGAGTTAAATTAAAAATTAAGCTTTATAATTTTTTTAATTATTTTTTCTGTTAGGTTATTCCTGTCTTATGATATAGGTTGCAGGTTAGGCAGGTTAATTTGGGTTATTTTTTATTTTTTTTTTAATTTTATTAAGTTATTTTTTATTTTTTTTAATTTTATTATTTAACACTGAATTTATTAAAAATTGAATTTCATAATTTTTTTTAATTTAATTTTTATGAAGTTATTATAATCTCATGACTTGATATGCAAATTAATAGGTTAACTTGAACTTGAACTCATTTAAGTTAATCTAATATGTTTTATTTTTAATATTTATAAAAAAAATTCATCTTAAATATTTATTTTGAGTCAGTTTATATTTTTATTAATTATTCAAGTTATTTTTATACCTAGCAAATCAAACGAGTTACATTAATTTAATCCCTATGTGATTTAAGTTTTTTTTTTTCATTCAAGAAAAAAATTTAGCAACTATTAAACATATTTTTTACATTAAAAAAATAATATAACCATTAGCTGCCAAATATTTTATGCTGTTTTAGCTCATTGAAAAATTATTTATGGTAATTATTCCCAAAACATTTTTTAAATTCAAATGGAATGAGAAAGGCATGATACTGTAGCATTGTCACGTGTGAATCCACAGCTTATAGCTGGGCGCCATAATCAATGTAATTGGCCGAGGCCTGTTTTTACGATAAGAGTTCGTTAATAAAAGGCCAAAAAAAAAAAAGGGGATGTGTGCTTGTTTGTGTGTGTGTGTGTGTGTGTGTGTGTAATGTATTTAAATGGCACTGTTTTAGTTTATAGAAAATCTGAAAGTCTTTTGTCTTCCTCGTGAAGTGGGACGGACTCTCTCTGAGAGTTACAGCAATCAAGACATGTTACAGCTTGGAGACAAAAACAAGCAGTGTGTGATGGAAGCGAGAAACATTGGGTCTCTCATTGCTAGAATTCAAATTTGAATGCTGCTGTTTTAACTATCCATCTGTGTTTTAAGTTGAGCCCGCGTCTCCCTCTCTCGCTCTCGCTCCCTTTGACCACCTCGGTCACTCCCCAACACCAATTTGACTGACCATCCATTTTTAATAATCAGTCCAAGCCCCTTTCTTTCCTCTTCTTGCTATCACATTCCCTCAAATCATGGACAAACATACAACACAAAAGATGGGAACGTTTGATGCTGAGGCTGAGTCTGTGATTACTAGCAGCTTTCAGGATCTCAGTTTCACTAACAGCACTGTTAGTATCGGCTTGTGTAGTTCCGTCTCTGATAATAGTGTTGGTAATAGCAGCAATGTGAGCAATGGTACTGCTGCTAGTGAATCTAAAGAGAGTGAAAGGGCTAGTTTGATTTTTGACCCAAATGAGGCTAGCTTCAGGAGCTCCTACACTTCGAAACCCCATAAGGGAAATGACTTTAGGTGGGATGCTGTACAGTGTGTAAAGGGTAAAGATGGGGATTTGGGGATGGGTTTGGGTCATTTTAGGTTATTGAAGAAACTTGGTGTCGGGGATATAGGGAGTGTATATTTGGCTGAGTTGAGAGGGATGGGTTGCTTGTTTGCAATGAAGGTAATGGATAAAGGAATGTTAGCTGGGAGGAAGAAGTTGTTGAGAGCTCGAACTGAGAGAGAGATTTTAGGTTTGTTGGATCATCCATTTTTACCAACCCTTTATTCGCATTTCGAGACCGATAAGTTTTCTTGTTTGTTAATGGAGTTTTGCAGTGGTGGGGATCTTCATATACTAAGGCAGCGACAACCTGGCAAGCATTTTAGCGAGCAGGCAGCAAGGTTAGTGTGTGCTTGTTAATATCTTTTGGTTTGTGGTTCTTCTTTGTTTCGCTCTCAATCTGGTTTAATTACTTTGCCATTAATGTAATACTGCTAAATAACTAGGGGGAAGCGTCAGAAAGGCAGTTATCTTGAGCAGACATGCATTTTTTTGTATGTTTATGAAAGATTGATCAAAATTAAGGTTTTTGCTAATGCTATGAACACCGAGATTGAGTGAAGGCTTGGGAATGAATTTTCAGAAATTAGTTCGACTCGTGTACATGATCATAACCGACGGCATTGTTCTTTCGCTTCAGCATAGCCTCGGAATTTTATTTTATGCACAATGAACAAATTTAGGATTGTTCTCCAATAATTATTTGTTTGTATACAGGTTTTATGCTTCGGAAGTGCTTCTTGCTTTAGAGTACTTGCACATGATGGGCGTTGTATATAGAGATTTGAAGCCTGAAAATGTGTTGGTGAGGGAGGATGGCCATATTATGCTTTCGGACTTTGATTTGTCATTAAGATGCTGTGTGAGTCCCACTCTTGTTCAATCTAGTACTGTGTCGTCTTGTAAGATTTCTTCATACTGTATTGAGCCATCATGTATTGATCCAGCCTGCAAGTTGCCCGTTTGTGTAGAGCCTTCTTGCTTGCAACCATCTTGCCTTAAACCTCGTTTCTTCAACCCCAAGATAGCAAAAGTTAAAAATGAAAAGCCAAACCTGGCAAGTTCAAATTCACTTCCTGTACTTGTTGCAGAACCAACCACCGCTCGTTCCATGTCATTTGTCGGTACCCATGAGTATTTAGCACCGGAGATAATAAGAGGAGACGGCCATGGAAGTGCTGTTGATTGGTGGACGTTCGGTATCTTCTTGTATGAATTGATACTTGGTAGGACTCCCTTTAAAGGCAATGGAAATCGAGAGACATTGTTTAATGTGGTAGGTCAGCCCCTAAAATTTCCTGAAGGATCTTCTGTCAGTTTTGCGGCAAAAGATTTAATCCGTGGTCTGCTCATGAAGGACCCGCAAAAGAGATTAGGGTTCAAAAGAGGTGCTACAGAGATCAAGCAGCATCCTTTCTTTGAGACTGTTAACTGGGCTCTCATTCGCGGCACTCACCCTCCAGAAATTCCAAAACCAGTTGACCTTTTATCTTTGAATCTCGCATTCAAGTCATCCTTGGCTCCCAATGATAACAGAGCTACAGATTCTGACAGATCATCAGGTCCCTTTTTAGATTTTGAATTCTTCTAATGAGTTTTGTTCTTTAAGTGGCGAGTTTACGTTATTTTTGTGTGTTCATCTTCTCAATGGAATCTCATCTCCTTGGCATCTCCTTGGCATCAAACCCTTGTTATCAGATTATCTGTTCTGTTTGTTACAAGTGCTGAGCAAGCAGCATTTGGGTTCGTAATATAAAACTTCTGTCTTAGAACCCCCATGAAAGTTGACACTTTCCCTGGATAGTTTCATTCCCATCCTGCTGTGTAAGCTTCAGCTATGTGATTTCTCGAGAGGGGGCCTCCAATGGTGGGCATTGAGCCTTTTCATAACCCGCACTTTATAGCATACATAGCTGCATTGACCCAGTTACTCTCTCTTTAGCTGCAGGGAGAGCTTTCGTGAAAGAGATTGAATTGGACTGCTAGTAGAAAAGCTGTGGATGCTTGTAGCCATGAGATCATGAGGTGTCCGCATCGTATTGATCCTTGGCTCCTTTTATTTGCTTTTTTAACAGTTTGAGTTTCTGCTTCCTTGAATTGTTATCAAGTCGGGCTCTTCCCGATGAAGTTCTTGCTTTTCATTTTTATATATATGGAAAAGAGTTGGGGAAAGAAACAAAAAAATACATAAAAAGAGTGCTTTATTCTTTTGCAGTGAACAGTCTTTTCCTTTACAAAGTATATTCTCACTTTAATCATAGCCTTCTTTTATGGCAAGTGATCATCAAATTGAGGCTTTTAGTGGTAGAATGATGCCTGACAAAGAAAAACAAATGAATCTGACAACTCTGTGTTTGCAAGTTTGTCCTGCATTATGATGCCTCCACCGCAATCTCTGTAATAGAAAACAGTATTCAGACAAATGAATCAAATTCAACATAAAAACTCTTGACTCATACTTGGAGCCACATCCATACTTCTGTTATTATGAATTCGTTTGGTCTTTCTGCTACTTCTATTATTACAGGTTTAAAGTGCATCTAACTTTTGATTCTCAAATCAACCATACTAAAGTTTGAATCGCATGGAATAATCCATATAGTACAAGGTAGTGTTTGATGTCTGATTTTTCATAATTTATAACCTAAAAGGAAAAGATAATTTACAAAGGGGTAGAATTTCAAAGAGATTTATGTGTATGGGGCTAAGCAAAAGTTACAATGAGGATGGCTCTTCTTAAATACCAATCTCTAGCCCAAAAGGTAGTTGTTCACCTATATAAGTCATCCTCGTAGAGAATCCTTATTTAGAAGAATTTATAAAGTTAAAGTAAAATGAGACAACAAAAACGGTATAACATCAAATCTTTGGTGGATATTTAATAAGAAAATCTTGCACATTTAAGGAAGAAAAGATTTTGACTTGAAATTGTGATTACTTGGTTACTTAATCCACACGTGAATAATATAACTTCTGGAAATATAAAAAATCAGGTTTTAAAATATAACATAAAGATTACTTTGAACTTAAACACCAATATTATTATAATACCAAACCCCTCACCTAATGGATAGCAACTCACAAATAAAATAGCAACTCACAAATAAAAAATATAAGATGATGTTATAAAGAGAGTTATTATTTGATATGTTAAATTTGTTATTTATCTTAGTAAACAAAACATGTTGCATCACGCAAAGCATAAATTTATTTTATAAATCTATAGCTGCTGAAAATTTTAGCTTATAAATTTATTTATTTTTATAAATATAATTATATTTGAGAGAAATGTTAAACAAATAGCATATCTCAAGAGGTACATTGACTTATAATCCAAATCGAACTGACCTTACGCTACAGGGAAAAAATTAAAAGCTAAATAAAACTTAAAAAAAATTGTGAAACTAGTTGACTAATTGATGAAAAACTCAGAACCAGTTGATCAGTTATGTAAAAACAACAGACATGCTAAGTGAAACTTAAAGGACAATAGGCTAGAGGTACCCCATAACTCTATAAAATGCCATGTAGGCTTAGGAATTGTTGGAATCTGGTATTTTGGTTTTAGCTCAACCAACTTAGACTACACACTAATAACATTATATAGGCTATAAGCCTAGTGAAAAACTTGATTATTCCTCCCATATCAAATGAAGTAAACAATGGCTGAGAGGACTAACTAAATAAGTAGATTTGGATCTTTTACCATGGCTAAGAGGAACTAAGCAAGTAGATTCGAATCTATTCTTCTTCCTACAGTTTATAAATGTTCACTAAAGTAAAGGTCTTTATTTCATCGAAGGCCAACTCATAACAATCTCGCTTGTGGTAGCCCTCCAAACAGAAGCGGATAAAAGAAACTGAAAGAACAGATGGTTGTGTGTCTTATTATATGAGCCATAAAGAATATATATCAAGAAGCTAATGATATGATAAGTATGTAGTTTGTCCATGGTGTGTAGACTACTCATAAAAGCATGCCATAGGATAAAATAACGTCTCTAAATATGACATGAAAACCAAAAAAGGTGATGCATAGAATCTACGAGTCTTGTGTCTTTAAGAGCCTCCCATGTAAAATCAATAGAAAATCTCTCTAATGGATTCCAAATATAGTGATTTGATAGTGTAATCTTAGGATGAAAAAGCACTAAATCCCAAATTTATTAGAGCTCTTGATTACCCGAGAGAAAAGACCAAGTGTCTTCCTTAATGATATCTAAGACTTTGGCATCCCAAAAGCCCAATCTAGAATGACATCTTGAAAGCAAAAGGTTACAGAACCATTAACCATTCAACAACTAATAGTTTAACCATAAGAAAATAGCAATCTCATCACCAATACAAGAGATAAATCTCCATCTACACTAATCTCTATTGAGTAGAATCTTCATCTAAGACCAAAATAAAACTGAATAAGGCTTGACACGCCAGAAAGATCTACTTCTAAGTAAGACATTATAAACCCATCCCAACTAAATTAAAGATCTCTTCTAAAGAAGTCCCTAAACATGCTTAAGAATAACTATTTTATTCCAAGTCTTAATCCCTTATATCCCTAGACCACCCTCTTTAAAAGGATAACAAACTAAAGCTTAAGCTACCTTAGCCTCTAAATAGGAAAGAGAACAACCTTTCTAGAGAAAATTAGCTAGAATACTCTTTGTAACGCCTCATACTTTTATATACATTTATAGTTATTTTCCTATGATTTGGTACGTAAAAATATAGGTAATTTTTTTAATATATAGTTCTCATATAAAAATCTAATGAAATTTCTATTGAAATTTTGGTAGAGTCTCCCCTATATAGGGAGGTCCCAAGTTATCGACATATATCATGTTTACACTTCTCTCGCATCCCGTAACTCAATCATGACCCAATCATTCTGGATCTCAATCCCACAAACATTATTATCATCACAACTATAATATTTATAACATACATTGAACAATAAATATCTTTAGAGAGGAATAAATGAGATAAACATGTATACATAGAACATGAATATATGAATTTCAGAGTTAAGTTCATGTATTCAAGTTTAAACATCAATTATATAAATTAAGTTATATAAATGTTCTAATATTTCAAAATACAATGATATACTCTCTAGAACTAGATAATAAAAAGTTAACAAAAGCTAGGATCTGCTCATGTAGTGCGTGCGATGATTCTAAAACAAAATACATATTATTAAAACATGAATATCATAATAAGTATAGTAAAACAAATATCCAACAACTTAAAAAAAAAACATGTGTTCATATTTTATGCACTTCTCTTTGTCTTTTCTCGTTTTCTCTCTCAAGCTCTCTTTGTCGATGGAGTTATAGTTGTCGAAATTTCTACCATCAATATATTATCATTCTTTTTCCAAACATAGTTATCATTACAAATTTCAATTATGAACATGACTTGTTTCTTTTAGAAGCTAGGATAAAATATCACATGTTCAAAATATCTTTTTAAGAGCCAATTTATCCTATATATTTCAATCTTCCCTCTTAACGTCAAAATAGAATATTCTTATTGATTTTACAAACTTTCCAAACAATATTCTTCTAAACACAATCCCTGACATTTCAACATTTATTGTTTTTCCTTATTTTGACATAATTAAACACACGTCATCAACCTAAATATGTCAAATTAAATATTCTCCTCCTTTGATGCATAATTAACTAAAAGCATGGCCTTAAGGAACCAAGAGTCCCCTCATTCTTTTCATGTTAATTTCATTCAATTCACACACATATTTACATAAAAAACAAACTCTTTAAAATATAAAGAGGTGAGGTGGTAAGCACATACTTGTTCCTCTTAGTGGTTCCATTTCATTTTGTTAGCTTGAGGTCTTGGAATTGATGCCTCTCCTACTCTACATAAGACCAATATTTAATATCATTCAATTTTCTTTTCAATGTTTTTTTTTTCAACTAGCAAGTATCATTATATGATTTCATATAAGATTTTTATATCTAAATTAGATCATTATTTCACGATTACATAGTCATCCTTTAACTCAAACCGTACAGATTTTTTTAAGATTATTTCTTAACTTAAACTTATCTTACCTTAATCATCTTATATGAGATTCTAATTTCCTATAAGTTTTTATTCCTGGGGATTTACAAATCAACCCCTCAACACCTATTAGTAGGGTTGTCACTAAATCTATAAGGGAGCTGCTGGAATTTTCCAGCTGATAAAGCATATTTATGAAACTACTATTAATGATTTTCATGTTATTTTTTAGTCTAATTGTCGACATTAGTTGACAACCTTACCAAACTATGATAGCTCTAAAATTTTAACTGTATATGAAACTATATATAAAGGAGGCCCTCGTAAATGTTCAACCCAATCGATGGTTAGATTGAACATTATACTTAATAGCACTAAATTGGTTAGTAGATGATTTTTACGCAAGAAAAATCCAAATTTTCTTATGTAACCCTTTTATGAAACATACATATTAATCCTCTAAACCATAAAGGTTATTTTATCATTTGGACATAAACCTCTAACCTTTTGTTATTTGAACATTGACCACTCTTGGTCTTACATATTTATTATATCCCCATAAATTTTTCTTTCTAACAATTTAGCATTATATTCACTTTTTATTTTATCAATTTCATTGTTTTTATCTTGATTTAGGTTTCTTTAAATTAATTTTATCCATTTCACTATTGGTTAAATTTTTTATATTTTAATAACCAAGAAAAATTATAATTGGGGGTTAACATTCCTTCTTTATAAAATTTCATCCTCAAAATTTAAGATTCATACCTATCTATGAAATAATTTGTGGATTCTTTTCCATCATTTCGGACTCCCGTATCCAAGTTTCTTTTACAATTTGAGAACTCTTTCATAATAATTTTTGTTCTATAGGAACTATCTTATTTTCTAATTCCTTTACATGTCAATCAAAATCCTCACTGACAGCACTTTCATAATCAAATCATCTCGGATCTCAGTAAAAACTTATGGTAACACCTATGTGGAATCTAACTTGAATTTCACCCCAATCATAATTGATTAATACTTAAAAGTGTATTTTTATCAAGGTTTTATATCAGCATTTTGCACTTCAAGTATCAATAACTTCTTAACTAAAA